AGCTCACTCCACTCGTGGAGTAGCGGCTTCTACTGCCCTTTTTAGAGGAACGGGAGTAGAGGATATCTGTAGAGCAGCATCCTGGTCGACGCCGTCTCCATTTATCCGTTTCTATCTCTTAGATATGTCTTCCAATTCTCTGGCTCGATCTGTACTCAGCGTGGCTGAAGGGAGATCTTGAGCAAGAAGGAGAGGAGAAGCAGGACTGTGGACACAGGTTTCCATCAGGTCCGCTTTTGGTTAGGAAGACGTGTCTTTAACAGATGTGTTTTCTAACTCTTTGGCTCGGTCTGTACTCAGCATAGCTGAAGGGAGATCTGGAGCTAGGAAGAGAGGGAAAAGCAGGACTATGGACAGGGTTTCCATCAGGTCCGCTTTGGATGAGAAAACATATTTTGTGGCATGAATCCTGACTGACAAGCTCAGTACAGTAGAGGCATGCGTGGATTAACAGAATATGAGGTCATCTATCTGCTCGTTCAGTTAGTATGACTCATGTTTTGTTCCTGCCCACTAATCTCTGGGATTCCATTGAGTGAGTGAGGCGGTCTACCGCGTTCATAATGTAGAGTGACATTTGATGTCATTCCATTAGTGGTCGGTAGTGTTTTCACAGGATATTGAGGCACATCTATCTGCTAGTACAGATTAGTATGGCTTCTATTCTGGTGATCTGCCCACTAGTCATTGGCATTGCCATTGGACTAGGTGGGGCGGGTCTTTTAACCGATGACGCGGTATATTGTGACGCCCGTAGGGGTTTTTAGTTGCAGTACTGCGGGACTCGGTTACAGCCATTGCTGGGCCTGACTTTCTCGTTTTGATGGGAAGTGTTAGGCTCGGCAGGGAGTACATTTTGGAGCGCTACGCTCCGCCTTAAACCATTAGGAGCAGAGCTCCCCTATGGGGCGGAGCTCCACGAATAGAACTGGAGTTACACTCCGGTAACTAATCGTTTTACAGCATTGAGTCCCTTACGGCCTCATCGGCAACTCCATCTAGAACTAACCTATCACTCTGGTTCTAGAACTAACCCATCACTCTGGTTCTAGAACTAACCCACCACTCTGGTTCTAGAACTAACCCATCACTCTGGTTCTAGAACTAACCCATCACTCTGGTTCTAGAACTAACCCATCACTCTGGTTCTAGAACTAACCCATCACTCTGGTTCTAGAACTAACCCATCACTCCGGTTCTAGAACTAACCCATCTCTCAGGTTCTAGAACTAACCCATCACTCTGGTTCTAGAACTAACCCATCACTCTGGTTCTAGAACTAACCCATCACTCCTGTTCTAGAACTAACCCATCACTCTGGTTCAAGAACTAACCCATCACTCCGGTTCTAGAACTAACCTATCACTCTGGTTCTAGAACTAACCCATCACTCCGGTTCTAGAACTAACCCATCACTCTGGTTCTAGAACTAACCCATCACTCTGGTTCTAGAACTAACCCATCACTCCGGTTCTAGAACTAACCCATCACTCTGGTTCTAGAACTAACCCATCACTCCGGTTCTAGAACTAACCCATCACTCTGGTTCTAGAACTAACCCATCACTCTGGTTCTAGAACTAACCCATCACTCTGGTTCTAGAACTAACCCATCACTCCGGTTACCACAGGAGGCAAGAAGGGGATGTTTAGGGTGCCATTTTGGGACACGGTTTAGTACCAGGAGAGGTCTTATTCTTCCCATTCATTCCCAACCATCATTCTGGATGATATGTTTTTTTTTTTACACACATGAGAACATTTGTTATTATGTTTATTTTATTATTCATATGAATTTGACAGTCTGCCACAGTGTCACCACTCCTGTCAGAAAGCCCCCATAGTGACGTAGTCCAATTCAACCAACAGGGGGTGATATAGTTCTACCATTGACTCATATGACTTGACTGTCAAATACAGTACAGTATAGGGGGGGGGGGGGTTCTACTAAGCTAACATATAGAATTGTTTTAAGATGGTCATACCATGGATCGTTTAGCTATTTCACTTAGAATTTTTGCACCTCTGTAGGTATCCCAAAAAAATACAAAATATAATATTTGATAAAATACTGAATTTGGCCTTTACTACCATAGCCCGTGGAAAGACATTGAATAACACATTCATAAATAGCAAAACAGACAGTAAAAAAATAAATCATGAGGAATAAGGTTTTGAAGTGAGTCCCCTGTAGCTCAGTTGGTAGAGCATGGCGCTTGCAACGCCAGGGTTGTGGGTTCGTTTTCCACGGGGGGGGGGGGGGGGGCAGTATGAAAAATGTATGCACTCACTAACTGTAAGTCGCTCTGGATAAGAGCGTCTGCTAAATGACAAAAAATGTTATTTTTTTAAAGTGTCTGTCCTAGGAGATATAAGAAAGATCAGCAAATATTTTAGTTTTTTGGACACATATTTAACCCCTTTTGTTTGTTGGCACAGAACGACCTACATACTTACCTTACCATGTTTTAAACATGTACTGAGAGTCTCCCCTTTCCATAGAGGGGTCATATTAGTTTGTAGCCCATACGGTTCGGACGCTACGGACGTTTTCGTGAGAAGACCGATTTTCGGGATATCTCCTGGTCTGATAAACACTGCTGTAGCTCAGCCACCTTCCACCACAGATGAGGATACATCGGCAGATGCGGTGGATTGAGACGCAGCCCATGCAAAAAGACAGATCTCTATCTTAAACTGACAGATTTTGATGGGGATTTATTACATTTTAGTCATTTAGCAGACGCTCTTATCCAGAGCAACTTACAGTTAGTGAATACATTATTTTTTTTATACTGGCCCCCCGTGGGAATCAAACCCACAACCCTGGCGTTGCAAACACCATGCCCTATCAACTGAGCTACATCCCTGCCGGCCATTCCCTCCCCTACCCTGGACGACGCTGGGCCAATTGTGCGCCGCCCATGAGTCTCCCGGTCGCGGCCGGCTGCGACAGAGCCTGGATTCGAACCAGGATCTCTAGTGGCACAGTTAGCACTGCGATGCAGTGCCTTAGACCACTGCGCCACTCAGGAGTTTTTATTTTATTTTTATTAGATTGACACACGGGTGCGTCAATAGACTCTTAATTAAACTATTCCAGTACTGAGTAGGTATATACTGTTGGTAGTTTCTCTTGTACTAGGAAACATATGACTTTATGAAGGTCCTGGTCTATAAGGATGATGATACTAGTTACTGCACCCTATAGTAAATGCTCTGACAATCAGTAAACAAACCATTTTTTACACGTTAATGTAACCTCAGTTCTTCGATATTTAATATAGAATGAATGTATTTTCGTCATTATGTGTTGTCAGTATAGCATTCTCATTCACAACCATGTGTTCTGTACCGTCATGTAAGATTGAAGGACAATTGTTTGCGTTTTTTTCCCAGCTGGGTCAATAGATTTATGATGTCAACTCACAACAACCACACACAGAGTGGCGTCGCATCAAACCAGGAGAACATTTGTTCCTTCAATGACAACCTCAATCACACTCATAAATTACAGCCAGCGCTGAAATCCAACCACCTTGTGAAATACACTGTACAGCGGACACAGGCAGGGAGAGAGAGATGCCAGGGGGAGAATAGACCTTGTCAATCCTCGCCCAGTCTGACAGAGGGTTATGGGATGGACCGTATTGCGTTTCAGGAGTATCTAAAAGCAGCCTCACACTGCTCCAGGAAAACACTGCTACCCTCTATTATAACTATAGGTTATAACAGGAAAACACTTGTCTCTCTGCCCTCTGTTATAACTATACATTTACATTTTAGTCATTTAGCAGACGCTCTTATCCAGAGCGACTTACAGTTAGTGAATACATATATATATATATATATTTTTTTATACTGGCCCCCCGTGGGAATCGAACCCACAACCCTGGCGTTGCAAACGCCATGCTCAATCAACTGAGCTACATCCCTGCCGGCCATTCCCTCCCCTATCCTGGACGAATTGTGCGCCGCCCATGAGTCTCCCGGTCGCGGCCGGCTGCGACAGAGCCTGGATTCGAACCAGGATCTCTAGTGGCACAGTTAGCACTGCGATGCAGTGCCTTAGACCACTGCGCCACTCAGGAGTATAACAGGAAAACACTGCTCTCTCTGCCCTCTATTATAACTATAGGTTATAACAGGAAAACACTGCTTTATACAGAGAATGGATAACGATAACCCCAAGCACTTTTCTTCCCAGAGCTCAAAGCCAACCCTCCGGGCAGCAGGTATCTTAGTGGTTAAGAGCGTTGTGCCAGTAACCGAAAGGTCGCTGGTTCTAATCCCCGAGCCGACTAGTTGAAAAATCTGTCGATGTGCCCTTGAGCAAGGCACTTAACCCTAATTGCTCCTGTAAGTCGCTCTGGATAAGAGCGTCTGCTAAATGACAAAACAATTTTTGTCTGCCATACGATGCCCCAATAATGCTCTCTAACCACTGATTCATGGGTCTGAATAAACGGCCTGCTGTCTGCGTAATCAAGGACCTTCCCAGTATTCTGTACATGGCAAAGTGTTGACATAAATTGCTTTGTTTTTCAGAGTATACTCAAGAAACATGCACGGGTCAGACACTAGCCCTAGCCTGTATTGATTGGACCCATTGTTTAGCCAACCATCTGTTGTGCTCAGACCTTTACAGCTTGGTGCAACTCCCACCTGAGAAAGGCTGGGACTGGGATTGAAAACATCGAGGAGGACTTCAGGAACGGACTGAAGCTCATGCTGCTGCTGGAAGTCATTTCTGGTACATCTCACATCCTGTGTGTGTAGATCTGTGTGTACGTGCCTGTGGGTGTGTGTGTGTAGATCTGTGTGTACGTGCCTGTGGGTGTGTATGTGTAGATCTGTGTGTACGTGCCTGTGGGTGTGTGTGTGTAGATCTGTGTGTACGTTCCTGTGGGTGTGTCTGATACGTTAATACAGTCACATGTCTCCTCTTCCCCAGGTGAAAGACTTCCCAAACCAGACAGAGGGAAGATGCGCTTCCACAAGATAGCCAACGTCAACAAAGCTCTGGAGTACATCACCAGCAAAGGAGTCAAGCTGGTCTCCATTGGAGCTGAAGGTATATTATATATCTATTTCACCACAGCTGAAGGTATATTATAGTTCTATTTCACCACAGCTGAAGGTATATTATAGTTCTATTTCACCACAGCTGAAGGTATATTATAGTTCTATTTCACCACAGCTGTGAAGGTATATTATAGTTCTATTCACCACAGCTGAAGGTAGATTATAGTTCTATTTCACCACAGCTGAAGGTATATTATAGTTCTATTTCACCACAGCTGAAGGTTATATTATATGTTCTATTTCACCACAGCTGAGGTTATATTTATAGTTCTTATTCACCCACAGCTGAAGGGTATATATAGTTCTATTTCACCCCAGGGTATATTATAGGTTCTATTTCACCACAGCTGGAAAGGTATATTATAGTTCTATTTCACCACAGCTGAAGTTATATTATAGTTCTATTTCACCACAGCTGAAGGTATATTATAGTTCTATTTCACCCACAGCTGAAGGATATTATATTCTATTCACCCCAGCTTGAAGGTATATTATAGTTTCTATTTCACCACAGCTGAAGGTATATTATAGTTCTATTTCACCACAGCTGAAGGTATATTATAGTTCTATTTCACCACAGCTGAAGGTATATTATAGTTCTATTTCACCACAGCTGAAGGTATATTATAGTTCTATTTCACCACAGCTGAAGGTATATTATAGTTCTATTTCACCACAGCTGAAGGTATATTATAGTTCTATTTCACCACAGCTGAAGGTATATTATAGTTCTATTTCACCACAGCTGAAGGTATATTATAGTTCTATTTCACCACAGCTGAAGGTATATTATAGTTCTATTTCACCACAGCTGAAGGTATATTATAGTTCTATTCACCACAGCTGAAGGTATATTATAGTTCTATTTCACCACAGCTGAAGGTATATGTATAGTTCTATTTCACCACAGCTGAAGGTATAATTATAGTTCTATTTCACCACAGCTGAAGGTAATTTATAGTTCTCTTCACCACAGCTGAAGGTATATTATAGTTCTATTTCACCACAGCTGAAGGTATATTATAGTTCTATTTCACCACAGCTGAAGGTATTATTATAAGTTCTCTTTCACCACAGCTGAAGGTATATTATAGTTCTATTTCACCACAGCTGAAGGTATATTATAGTTCTATTTCACCACAGCTGAAGGTATATTATAGTTCTATTTCACCACAGCTGAAGGTATATTATAGTTCTATTTCACCACAGCTGAAGGTATATTATAGTTCTATTTCACCACAGCTGAAGCTATATTATAGTTACCACAGTCCACAAAAACACTACAGTAAATACTACAGTATTCTACAATCTGCAAAAACAGTACAGTAAATACTATAGTGTATACTACAGTTTTCTTTTATTTATCCTATGTTAACTGTAAATACTACAGTATACTACAGTAAATGCTACAGATTTCACTGCAGTGTTTTCGTGGTCTTTAGTACGCAAAAACACCACAGCGAATACTATAGTATTTATACCATAGTATACTATAGTAAAAAAAAAATTACGTGGGCTATGTGTGACATTGAACACTGCATATAATTTGAATGCCAGTATATTATACAGACCATCCAATTAGACAAACTTAATATAGGAATAGAAAACCCAGACCTGGTTGATTAAGACTGTGACTATTCCCTGATTACTGACTTGTTTCTCCTGCAGAGATTGTGGATGGCAACATTAAGATGACTCTGGGAATGATCTGGACCATCATCCTGCGCTTCGCCATCCAAGATATCTCCGTGGAAGGTTAGCTAATATATATATATTTTTGTACCTTTATTTAACTAGGCAAGTCAGTTAAGAACAAATTCTTATTTACAATGACGGCCTACACCGGCCAAACCCGGACGACGCTGGGCCAATTGTGCGCCGCCCTATGGGACTCCCAATCACGGCCGGTTGTGATACAGCCTGGAATCAACCAGGGGGTCTGTAGTGACGCCTCAAGCACTGAGATGCAGTGCCTTAGACCGCTGCGCTACTCGGGAGCAGTCATGTAGTTATAGTTATGTATAGTGATTAGCATGTCATCTCCGTGGAAGGTTAGCTAATATAGTCATGTAGTTATAGTTATGTATAGTGATTAGCATGTCATCTCCGTGGAAGGTTAGCTAATATAGTCATGTAGTTATAGTGTTATGTATAGTGATTAGCATGTCATCTCCGTGGAAGGTTAGCTAATATAGTCATGTAGTTATAGTGTTATGTATAGTGATTAGCATGTCATCTCCGTGGAAGGTTAGCTAATATAGTCATGGAGTTATAGTGTTATGTATAGTGATTAGCATGTCATCTCCGTGGAAGGTTAGCTAATATAGTCATGTAGTTATAGTTATGTATAGTGATTAGCATGTCATCTCCGTGGAAGGTTAGCTAATATAGTCATGTAGTTATAGTTATGTATAGTGATTAGCATGTCATCTCCGTGGAAGGTTAGCTAATATAGTCATGTAGTTATAGTTTATGTATAGTGATTAGCATGTCATCTCCGTGGAAGGTTAGCTAATATAGTCATGTAGTTATAGTGTTATGTATAGTGATTAGCATGTCATCTCCGTGGAAGGTTAGCTAATATAGTCATGTAGTTATAGTGTTATGTATAGTGATTAGCATGTCATCTCCGTGGAAGGTTAGCTAATATAGTCATGTAGTTATAGTGTTATGTATAGTGATTAGTATGTCATCTCCGTGGAAGGTTAGCTAATATAGTCATGTAGTTATAGTGTTATGTATAGTGATTAGCATGTCATCTCCGTGGAAGGTTAGCTAATATAGTCATGTAGTTATAGTGTTATGTATAGTGATTAGTATGTCATCTCCGTGGAAGGTTAGCTAATATAGTCATGTAGTTATAGTGTTATGTATAGTGATTAGCATGTCATCTCCGTGGAAGGTTAGCTAATATAGTCATGTAGTTATAGTGTTATGTATAGTGATTAGTATGTCATCTCCGTGGAAGGTTAGCTAATATAGTCATGTAGTTATAGTGTTATGTATAGTGATTAGCATGTCATCTCCGTGGAAGGTTAGCTAATATATCATTTAGTTATAGTGGTATGTATAGTGATTAGCATGTCATCTCCGTGGAAGGTTAGCTAATATAGTCAGTAGTTATAGTGTTATGTATAGTGATTAGCATGTCATCTCCGTGGAAGGTTAGCTAATATAGTCATGTAGTTTATATAGTGTTATGTATAGTGATTAGCATGTCATCTCCGTGGAAGGTTAGCTATATAGTCATGTAGTTATAGTGTTATGTATAGTGATTAGCATGTCATCTCCGTGGAAGGTTAGCTAATATAGTCATGTAGTTATAGTTTATGTATAGTGATTAGCATGTCATCTCCGTGGAAGGTTAGCTAATATAGTCATGTAGTTATAGGTTATGTAAGTGATTAGTATGTCATCTCCGTGGAAGGTTAGCTAATATAGTCATGTAGTTATAGTGTTAGTATAGTGATTAGCATGTCATCTCCGTGGAAGGTTAGCTAATATAGTCATGTAGTTATAGTGTTATGTATAGTGATTAGCATGTCATCTCCGTGGAAGGTTAGCTAATATAGTCATGTAGTTATAGTTATGTATAGTGATTAGCATGTCATCTCCGTGGAAGGTTAGCTAAATATAGTCATGTAGTTATAGTGTTATGTATAGTGATTAGCATGTCATCTCCGTGGAAGGTTAGCTAATATAGTCCATGTAGTTATAGTGTTATGTATAGTGATTAGCATGTCATCTCCGTGGAAGGTTAGCTAATATAGTCATGTAGTTATAGTGTTATGTATAGTGATTAGCATGTCATCTCCGTGGAAGGTTAGCTAATATAGTCATGTAGTTATAGTGTTATGTATAGTGATTAGCATGTCATCTCGTGGAAGGTTAGCTAATATAGTCATGTAGTTTATAGTGTTATGTATAGTGATTAGACATGTCTCTCGTGGAAGGTTAGCTAATATAGTCATGTAGTTATAGTGTTATGTATAGTGATTAGCATGTCATCGTCCGTGGAAGGTTAGCTAATATAGTCAGGTAGTTATAGTGTTATGTATAGTGATTAGCATGTCATCTCCGTGGAAGGTTAGCTAATATAGTCTGTAGTTATAGTGTGTTATGTATAGTGATTAGCATGTCATCTCCGTGGAAGGTTAGCTAATATAGTCATGTAGTTATGTGTTATGTTATAGTGATTAGGCAATGTCATTCTCCGTGGAAGGTTAGCTAATATAGTCCATGTAGTTATAGTGTTTTGGTATAGTGATTAGCATGTCTCTCCGTGGAAGGGTTAAGCTAATATAGTCATGTAGTTATAGTGTTATGTATTAGTGATTAGCATGTCATTCTCCGTTGGAAGGTTAGCTAATATAGTCATGTAGTTTATAGTTATGTATAGTGATTAGCATGTCATCTCCGTGGAAGGTTAGCTAATATAGTCATGGAGTTATAGTGTTATGTATAGTGATTAGCATGTCATCTCCGTGGAAGGTTAGCTAATATAGTCATGTAGTTATAGTTATGTATAGTGATTAGCATGTCATCTCCGTGGAAGGTTAGCTAATATAGTCATGTAGTTATAGTGTTATGTATAGTGATTAGCATGTCATCTCCGTGGAAGGTTAGCTAATATAGTCATGGAGTTATAGTGTTATGTATAGTGATTAGCATGTCATCTCCGTGGAAGGTTAGCTAATATAGTCATGTAGTTATAGTGTTATGTATAGTGATTAGCATGTCATCTCCGTGGAAGGTTAGCTAATATAGTCATGTAGTTATAGTGTTATGTATAGTGATTAGCATGTCATCTCCGTGGAAGGTTAGCTAATATAGTCATGTAGTTATAGTGTTATGTATAGTGATTAGCATGTCATCTCCGTGGAAGGTTAGCTGTTTATGTTATTGATGAGGAAAACCACTAACGACAGATCCTATTGGACTGTAGGTGCTATTCATAAGACAGAATTAGATATTAGAACACATCAGGTCAGTTTCCTGGACCCAGATTTCAGACTAGTCTTCGACTGAAAATCATCAACGACAGATTCTCCATTAAAAGTGCTTGTTAGTCCAGGACCAGTCTGTGCCCGGGGAACCGTCCCATAATGAATGTGGCTATCATAGATTACATTTTAGTCATTTAGCAGACGCTCTTATCCAGAGCGACTTACAGTTAATGAGTGCATAAATTTTTTCATACTGCCCCCCGCCGGAATCGAACCCACAACTCTGGCGTTGCAAGCGCCATGCTCTACCAACTGAGCTACAGGATTACCAACATAGAGCACATGACATGGGCCTTTTGAGAGGTTTATAGGGCCAGGGATGTATGGTTGTCACAATAAACATCACAATGTTCTCTCCTGTAGAAACCTCTGCTAAGGAGGGGCTTCTTCTATGGTGCCAGAGAAAGACTGCCCCCTACAGGAATGTCAATGTCCAGAACTTCCATGTCAGGTGAGTCCATTTACTTAGTGAGATTCAAGAAAATGGAAGTCCCATCACAGCCATGTAAATGGTTTTCTATTTCTCTGTGTTTTTAATATTTTCTAAAAGTGTTTAAAGACACGTTTCTAAATGTACAGAGAGAGAGAGAGAGAGAGAGGAGAGAGAGAGAGAGAGAGAGAGAGAGGAGCGAGATAGAACGAGAGAGAGAGAGAGAGAAAGAATATCAGCGAGATAGCGATAGCTCTCGCCAGCTCTCGCTGATGATCTCGCCTCGATCTCTCTCTCTCTCTCTATCTCTCTCTTCTTTCGTCTCTCTCTCTCTCGCTCTCCTCGCTCTCTCTCTGCTCTCTCTCTCTTCTCTCTCTTTCTCTCGCTCTCTCTCTCCTCTCTCTCTCTCTCTCTCTCTCTCTCGCTCGCCCTCGCTCTCTCTCTCTCTCTCTCTCTCTCTTTCTCTCTCCTCTCTCTCTTCTCCCTCTCTCTCGTCTCGTCTCTCTGCCTCTGCCTCTCGCGTTCTCTCTCTCTGTCGCTCTCTCGTCCTACGCCTCCGTTCTCTCTCTCTTACCTCTATCGCTCGCAGATCGACATCTTACTTAATAACGCTCTAACGGTACTCTCGATTCGCTGATTCTACATTTAAGAATGGCGAGAGAGAGCGGAGATGAGTAGCGACTCTGTTCATACTTCGCCTCCTTCTCGACTCGCTCGCTCTCCGTCTTACCTTCTCCGCTGCTCCGCGCTCCTTTCCGCTCCTCTCCTCGCCGCTGCCTCGCTCGCTCTTCCGCCTCGCTCGCGCTCCGCTCGCGCGCTCGCTGCTCTCAGGCGCTGGCGCCTCGCTCTCCGTCGCTCTCTTCCTCCTCGCCCCGTTCTCTCTACTCTTTTTGCCTCCATTCCTCTCGCACCACTCGTCTCGCGCTAGAATAAGATGTCAGCCTTTTACAGCAGCCCACGCAGAGAGAGAGAGAGAGGGGGGAGCTACATGTTAATGATAGAGAGAGAGAGAGGAGAGCTGCATGTTAATTCAGCCTTTATTAGCAGCCCACCAGTCCAGTAATGCTTACGCTGCCCCATTTAAGATCAGGGCTTTAAAAAGACCACTCTGCTTTGCCATTCATTGGTTGTGATTAAATCTGATAAAGGCCCAGTGCAGTCAACATTCGTTTTTTCCTGTGTTTTGTATCATATTGTACAACAGCTGATGAAACTAGCACTAGCACAAGTGTGAAAACATTTGATCAGTGTTATTTCCTGATAGTTTCTGGTTGAAAATTCAATCTACACAGAACCTTCTAATCAGCAGGTTTGCATGGGGCGGGAGTCTCGGCTTGCCTGGTGACATCACCAGGTGGTAAATTGATTAATAGACCAATAACAAAGAGAGTTCCAACCTAGCTACCAATAACAGCTCGGTTTCAGTTATCCCCTCCTCCCTCAGACCACTCCCAGACAGTCCTAGCAAAATTATGCTTGAGAAATCGTTTTTTTGCTAAAAAAAGCTATTTTTGTCAATTTTAATGGAAAACTATTACACTAAGGTTCTTAATTGTTACCCAGAAATGATTTGATATTGATAAAAAAACAGCTGCATTGGGCCTTTAACTGCTGGGTAGAAGCCTCTTCCCAGACTGATCAATGTGTATTGATGTCAGCTTGGAGAATCACAACCATCCATTTGATTGAGTTCTGCAGCAGAGAGAGCAGTCTATTAGAAAGGCTTGTACCCTTTACTGATGATATGTCGCCAGAGATGGTTTGATTACGTTTCTACCATTGTGGCTAGATGGAGTAGGCCTACAGCTCCATCTAGTGGTCGCGTCAGGGACAGCAGTTGTTGACAACTGTAGCGTTTTAGCTGACCCTTTCCTAACCTTTAATCTCATTCTCCTAACCTGCTATGTTAATTCACCTAACCAGCTGCGTTAGTTCTAACCTGCCACGTTAATTCACCTAACCTGCAACGTTAATTATCCTGACCTACTATGTTAATTATCCTAACCTGCAACGTTAATTATCCTGACCTACCATGTTAATTATCCTAACCTGCCACGTTAATTATCCTAACCTGCCATGTTAATTATCCTAACCTGCCATGTTAATTATCCTAACCTGCCATGTTAATTATCCTAACCTGCCATGTTAATTATCCTAACCTGCCATGTTAATTATCCTAACCTGCCATGTTAATTATCCTAACCTGCCATGTTAATTATCCTAACCTGCAACGTTAATTATCCTAACCTGCCATGTTAATTATCCTAACCTGCCATGTTAATTATCCTAACCTGCCATGTTAATTATCCTAACCTGCCATGTTAATTATCCTAACCTGCCATGTTAATTATCCTAACCTACCATGTTAATTACCGTAACCTGCCATGTTAATTATCTTAACCTGCCATGTTAATTACCCTAACCTGCCATGTTAATTACCCTAACCTGCCATGTTAATTATCCTAACCTGCCATGTTAATTATCCTAACCTGCCATGTTAATTATCCTAACCTGCCATGTTAATTATCCTAACCTGCCATGTTAATTATCCTAACCTGCCATGTTAATTATCCTAACCTGCCATGTTAATTATCCTAACCTGCCATGTTAATTATCCTAACCTGCCATGTTAATTATCCTAACCTGCCATGTTAATTATCCTAACCTACCATGTTAATTATCCTAACCTGCCATGTTAATTATCCTGACCTACCATGTTAATTATCCTAACCTGCCATGTTAATTATCCTAACCTGCCATGTTAATTATCCTAACCTGCCATGTTAATTATCCTAACCTGCCATGTTAATTATCCTAACCTGCCATGTTAATTATCCTAACCTGCCATGTTAATTATCCTAACCTGCCATGTTAATTATCCTAACCTGCCATGTTAATTATCCTAACCTGCCATGTTAATTATCCTAACCTGCCATGTTAATTATCCTAACCTACCATGTTAATTATCCTAACCTGCCATGTTAATTATCCTAACCTGCCATGTTAATTATCCTAACCTGCCATGTTAATTATCCTGACCTGCCATGTTAATTATCCTAACCTGCCATGTTAATTATCCTAACCTGCCATGTTAATTATCCTAACCTGCCATGTTAATTATCCTAACCTGCCATGTTAATTATCCTAACCTGCCATGTTAATTATCCTAACCTGCTATGTTAATTATCCTAACCTACCATGTTAATTATCCTAACCTGCCATGTTAATTATCCTAACCTGCCATGTTAATTATCCTAACCTGCCATGTTAATTATCCTAACCTACCATGTTAATTTTCCTAACCTACCATGTTAATTATCCTAACCTGCCATGTTAATTATCCTAACCTGCCATGTTAATTATCCTGACCTGCCATGTTAATTATCCTAACCTGCCATGTTAATTATCCTAACCTGCCATGTTAATTATCCTAACCTGCCATGTTAATTATCCTAACCTGCCATGTTAATTATCCTAACCTGCCATGTTAATTATCCTAACCTGCAACGTTAATTATCCTAACCTGCTATGTTAATTATCCTAACCTGCCATGTTAATTATCCTAACCTGCCATGTTAATTATCCTAACCTGCTATGTTAATTATCCTAACCTGCCATGTTAATTATCCTAACCTGCCATGTTAATTATCCTAACCTGCCATGTTAATTATCCTAACCTGCCATGTTAATTATCCTAACCTGCCATGTTAATTATCCTAACTGCCATGTTAATTATCCTAACCTGCCATGTTAATTATCCTAACCTGCCATGTTAATTATCCTAACCTGCCATGTTAATTATCCTAACCTGCCATGTTAATTATCCTAACCTGCTATGTTAATTATCCTAACCTGCCATATTAATTATCCTAACCTGCCATGTTAATTATCCTAACCTGCCATGTTAATTATCCTAACCTACCATGTTAATTATCCTAACCTGCCATGTTTAATTATCCTAACCTGCCATGTTAATTATCCTAACCTGCCATGTTAATTATCCTAACCTGCCATGTTAATTATCCTAACCTGCCATGTTAATTACCGTAACCTGCCATGTTAATTATCCTAACCTGCCATGTTAATTATCCTAACCTGCCATGTTAATTATCCTGACCTGCCATGTTAATTATCCTAACCTGCCATGTTAATTATCCTAACCTGCCATGTTAATTATCCTAACCTGCCATGTTAATTATCCTAACCTGCCATGTTAATTATCCTAACCTACCATGTTAATTATCCTAACCTGCCATGTTAATTATCCTAACCTGCCATGTTAATTATCCTAACCTGCTATGTTAATTATCCTAACCTGCCATGTTAATTATCCTAACCTGCCATGTTAATTATCCTAACCTGCCATGTTAATTATCCTAACCTGCCATGTTAATTATCCTAACCTGCCATGTTAATTATCCTAACCTGCCATGTTAATTATCCTAACCTGCCATGTTAATTATCCTAACCTGCCATGTTAATTATCCTAACCTGCCATGTTAATTATCCTAACCTGCCATGTTAATTATCCTAACCTGCCATGTTTAATTATCCTAACCTAGCCATGTTAATTATCCTAACCTGCCATGTTATTATCCTAACCTCCATGTTAATTATCCTAACCTGCCATGTTAATTATCCTAACCTGCCATGTTAATTATCCTAACCTGCCATGTTAATTATCCTAACCTGCTATGTAAACAAACCATCTGTGGCAACAAATCATCAGTATCAACACACCTGCACCTATCAGTCTGAGAACCAATGAACACAAAGCTTTAGTAGGAAGTCAAATGTAATTGTCCCTTGACCTTAGAAGACTATTCGATCCAGGCGTTTTAATTGGCTATTGATGTGGCTGCCCGCTGTGATGATGTAATATGATTCTCTCCCCCCCTGGTTGGCTGTGAAGCTGGAAGGACGGCCTTGCGTTGTGTGCCCTGATACACAGACACCGTCCTGACCTCATCGACTATGCCAAGCTCAACAAGGTCTCTGTTTGGTGTGGCCTGAGCCCCAATGCATGCTGGTCTAGGACTGGCTGAGTGCCAGTCTGTTTGTGCCTTCAGGCCAACTCCTTGTCACTCAGGCTAGTCTGGTCCTAGACCTGGGCTGAAGTGCATGATGGGAGATGCAGCCACCAACCACCATACTAACCCAACTGCCTGTTTACTTCATAGAGATTCACTGGTCAAGAGTCCTGTTTACTTCATAGAGATTCACTGGTCAAGAGTCCTGTTTACTTCATAGGGATTCACTGGTCAAGAGTCCTGTTTACTTCATAGGGATTCACTGGTCAAGAGTCCTGTTTACTTCATAGGGATTCACTGGTCAAGAGGATGATAAAACGAAGATAAGCTATATGATAAAACGAAGATAAACTATATGACAGTTATAGGAAGTAAACAAATGAAATCGAATATGACAGCATTTTGGCTGCACTACAAAAAATCTAAGTGTACATTTAAACATTGTTTTCTGTAGGTAAATCTTTTTGCTTTCTTGATCCCACTTCTCTATTGACCTGTAATGGGAGAATAAAATATTTTGTCATTCCACCAGTAATGTCTTTCTTTCTCTGGGGGCGAAGACAACAGGAGAGAGAGAGGCGCTCCTTCTGTCCGACGCTGGAGACAGAGCCGTGGAGATCCCAGGCTTACTGCAGCTAGGACCCTAGTTAATCAGGGCGGCGGGTAGCCTAGCAGTTAAGAGCGTTGTGCCAGTAATCCTAAGGTCGCCGGTGTGCTCTTGAGCAAGGCACTTAACCCTAATTGCCTCTGTAAGTCACAATGGATAAGAGCTTCTGCTAAATGTAACATCTTACGACGGCCAGCAAAAGCCTTCTAGTGTGGGCATCATTCCTCCATTCCTCTCCTCCCTTACCCCAACTCTATCACGTCCAGCCTGGAGGAGATGACAGGTTTCAGGCTACAGCGTCGTACTGTAGCCTAGAGCTAAGTACAGTCAGACTACTTAGGTCCTAGGCTTTAGGGGCTCTTCTATGGCTTAACTGTCTCCAGGTCATCCTGACTTGTGACCTTTCGAGTGTGTGGTTTTAGCATTGAGATGTGCTAACATGGCCTCGTGGTCTGTGTCTGCAGTGCTGTAACATTATCCCAGGCCACACAGCCATAGCCTTGACACTGCTGAGCAGAACAGGGTTAGCCCATACCAGAACAGGGTTAGCCCATACCAGAACAGGGTTAGCCCATACCAGAACAGGGTTAGCCCATACCAGAACAGGGCCAGCCCATACCAGAACAGGGTTAGCCCATACCAGAACAGGGTTAGCCCATACCAGAACAGGGTTAGCCCATACCAGAACAGGGTTAGCCCATACCAGAACAGGGCCAGCCCATACCAGAACAGGGTTAGCCCATACCAGAACAGGGCCAGCCCATACCAGAACAGGGCTAGCCCATACCAGAACAGGGTTAGCCCATACCAGAACAGGGTTAGCCCATACCAGAACAGGGTTAGCCCATACCAGAACAGGGCCAGCCCATACCAGAACAGGGTTAGCCCATACCAGAACAGGGTTAGCCCATACCAGAACAGGGTTAGCCCATACCAAAACAGGGTTAGCCTTGACCTGCTGAGCAGATCCCCTGGTCGCACATAGACATAGCCCACAGGTGGGTGCCAAAGTTTCCTGGTGGGTTGCGGGACATTCCTTGATTTGTTATTTTTACAAATTGGTGATTGTTTAAACCGAGCCATAACTACTGTTTAAACCGAGCTATGACACCTGGTTGATAACATCTGGGACATTAAGAACACCTGGTTGATAACATCTGGGACATTAAGAACACCTGGTTGATAACATCTGGGACATTAAGAACACCTGGTTGATAACATCTGGGACATTAAGAACACCTGGTTGATAACATCTGGGACATTAAGGACACCTGGTTGATAACATCTGGGACATTAAGAACACCTGGTTGATAACATCTGGGACATTAAGAACACCTGGTTGATAACATCTGGGACATTAAGAACACCTAGTTGATAACATCTGGGACATTAAGAACACCTGGTTGATAACATCTGGGACATTAAGAACACCTGGTTGATAACATCTGGGACATTAAGAACACCTGGTTGATAACATCTGGGACATTAAGAACACCTAGTTGATAACATCTGGGACATTAAGGCACAGTGTGTAGGACCAAGGCTAAAGGCCTACTAATGCATTGTATGTCCCCCTGGAGTTGCCATGTTGAATGTTGAAACTGTTACATTTACTAGCCTATATTGTGTTGCATGGTAGTAGTATGATTGATTTACATGTTTTACATTTTACATTGATGATGTGTTGAATACAGTATGGATGAATATTTTATTATATAGTTATACAGTATCTTTCCATGTCTAGTTATGATGTATTTTACCCTCTATTCCATGCAGGATGACCCTCTGGGTAATCTGAACCTGGCCTTTGAAGTGGCAGAGAAATACCTGGACATCCCCAAGATGTTGGACGCTGAAGGTAAATATTCTAGATCAGGGGCCTTTTCTAGCGTGACAGCTACTTTTAAAAAACATTTCGCGAGCTACTACTTTCTCCCACCAGGAAACTCCTTAGTGGAGAAGAGAAAGCAGTGCAGTATGTGTTCTGTAAATATACCTGGTCAAATAAGGGTTCATAAACGACTCTGTGATTTTTTACCCCCCAAATTATGTTTTATATTTTCCCAAATTATGTTTTCTTAGGTACATTTTTCCTGGTTTTAGATTTTTGTTTTGTTTTTCACTCTCGAAATTACAATTGTTCGTAGAGAAACAACGAAATTGGATGTTCTGAGTAACACGGCAACGCTTAAATCACATCAGAATACTTTCTTTTGAGGTCTGGAAGAAAACGATCAAATGTAGATTTTTGAGTGTATTTCCCCTTTAATAATGGCTCATCCAGCCAGTGAGGAATGTGCCGTCTAATGCGCCGGTCCAGCGATGGTTCTGTCTAATGCGCCGGTCCAGCGATGGTTCTGTCTAATGCGCCGGTCCAGTGATGGTTCTGTCTAATGCGCCGGTCCAGCGATGGTTCTGTCTAATGCGCCGGTCCAGCGATGGTTCTGTCTAATGCGCCGGTCCAGTGATGGTTCTGTCTAATGCGCCGGTCCAGCGATGGTTCTGTCTAATGCGCCGGTCCAGTGATGGTTCTGTCTAATGCGCCGGTCCAGTGATGGTTCTGTCTAATGCGCCGGTCCAGCGATGGTTCTGTCTAATGCGCCGGTCCAGTGATGGTTCTGTCTAATGCGCCGGTCCAGTGATGGTTCTGTCTAATGCGCCGGTCCAGTGATGGTTCTGTCTAATGCGCCGGTCCAGCGATGGTTCTGTCTAATGCGCCGGTCCAGTGATGGTTCTGTCTAATGCGCCGGTCCAGTGATGGTTTTGTCTAATGCGCCAGTCCAGTGATGGTTCTGTCTAATGCGCCAGTCTAGCGATGGTTCTGTCTAATGCGCCGGTCCAGCGATGGTTCTGTCTAATGCGCCGGTCCAGTGATGGTTCTGTCTAATGCGCCGGTCCAGCGATGGTTCTGTCTAATGTGCCGGTCCAGTGATGGTTCTGTCTAATGCGTCGGTCCAGCGATGGTTCTGTCTAATGCGCCGGTCCAGTGATGGTTCTGTCTAATGCGCCGGTCCAGTGATGGTTCTGTACTGTTGCTGTTCATTACATGGTAAAGTTGGCAAATAACTAATAATAGATACAAATTATAGACTTCTGACAAGCAATCAGGAGCCCCGTGTAGCTCAGTTGGTAGAGCACGGCGCTTGCAACGCCAGGGTTGTGGGTTCGTTTCCCACGGCGGGGCCAGTATGAAAAAAGAAAAGAAAAAAATGTTGCAGTTAACATTTAATTGAGAAGGATTTTGGGGAAAGTATTTCTGCCAACACACAAGACGGTTATCACATCAACCGGCTACACACTGAGAGATAGACAAACGCCTGCACCACACAGACAGACTGGGGTAATATTGCTGGAAATTAATTGGCAGATATTGTGTTAGGTTTGGCTTTTTAAGCCAATAGTGGCTAACCAGGGGTGGGATAATGTCAGTGTTGCGTTGATTAGACAGTGGCTGGTGGCTTGTGGTGTCTGATACTTGTGAGATTTGTTAATGACAGTTTGTGGTGGAACGGGTGAAACTTGCATGTACTGTCAGAATAGTTTGGTGAGCGACTCATCGGTGAGCTGGTATGTCTCAGAATAGTTTGGTGAGCGACTCATAGGTGAGCTGGTATGTCTCAGAATAGTTTGGTGAGCGACTCATAGGTGAGCTGGTATGTCTCAGAATAGTTTGGTGAGCGACTCATCGGTGAGCTGGTATGTCTCAGAATAGTTTGGTGAGCGACTCATAGATGAGCTGGTATGTCTCAGAATAGTTTGGTGAGCGACTCATAGGTGAGCTGGTATGTCTCAGAATAGTTTGGTGAGCGACTCATCGGTGGAGCTGGTTATGTCTCAGAATAGTTTGGTGAGCGACTCATAGGTGAGCTGGTATGTCTCAGAATAGTTTGGTGAGCGACTCATAGGTGAGCTGGTAGCTCTCAAATAGTTTGGTGAGCCGACTCCATAGGTGGTCTGGTATTTCTCAGAATAGTTTGGTGAGGCGACTCATAGGTGAGTGCTGGTATGTCTCAGAATAGTTTGGTGAGCGACTCATAGGTGGTCTGGTATGTCTCAGAATAGTTTGGTGAGCGACTCATCGGGGAGCTGGTATGTCTCAGAATAGTTTGGTGAGCGACTCATCGGGGAGCTGGTATGTCTCAGAATAGTTTGGTGAGCGACTCATAGGTGAGCTGGTAATGTCTCAGAATAGTTTGGTGAGCGACTCATAGGTGGTCTGGTATGTCTCAGAATAGTTTGGTGAGCGACTCATAGGTGAGCTGGTATGTCTCAGAATAGTTTGGTGAGCGACTCATAGGTGAGCTGGTATGTCTCAGAATAGTTTGGTGAGCGACTCATAGGTGAGCTGGTAGCTCTCAGAATAGTTTGGTGAGTGACTCATAGGTGGTCTGGTAGTCTCAGAATAGTTTGGGAGTGCTATAGGGTCTGGTATGTTCAGAATAGTTGGTGACTCATATGTGACGTATGTCTCAGAATAGTTTGGTGAGCGACTCATCGGGGAGCTGGTATGTCTCAGAATAGTTTGGTCTGGTAGCTCGTGATCGACCTGTTGGAGACTCCTGTTTTAGATATACACTATATATACAAAAGTACCCCTTCAAATTAGTGGATTTGGCTATTTCAGCCACACCCATTGCTGACAGGTGTATAGAGTCGAGCACACAGCCATGCGATCTCCATAGACAAACATTGGCAGTAGAATGGCCTTACTGAAGAGATCAGTGACTTTCAACGTTGCACCGTCATAGGATGCCACCTTTCCAACAAGTCAGTTTGTCAAATTTCTGCCCTGCTAGAGCTGCCCCGGTCAACTGTAAGTGCTGTTATTGTGAAGTGGAAACGTCTAGGAGCAACAACGGCTCAGCCGCAAAGTGGTAGGCCACACAAGCTCACAGAACGGGACCGCCGAGTACTGAAGCGCGTAGCGCATAAAAATAATCTGTCCTCGGTTGCAACACTCACTACCGAGTTCCAAACTGCCTCTGGAAGCAACGTCAACATGAAATGGGTTTCCATGGCCGAGCAGCCACACACAAGCCTAAGATCACCATGCGCAATGCCAAGCATTGGCTAGAGTGGTGTAAAGCTCACCGCCATTGGACTCTGGAGGAATGAATCACGCTTCACCATCTGGCAGTCCGACGGACGAATCTGGGTTTGGTGGATGTCAGGACAACGCTACCTGCCCGAATGCATATTGCCAACTGTAAAGTTTGGTGGAGGGGGAATAATGGTCTGGGTCAGTTTTTCATGATTCGGGCTAGGCCCCTTAGTTCCAGTGAAGGGAAATCTTAACGCTACAGTATACAATGACATTCTAGACGATTCGGTGCTTCCAGCTTTGTGGCAACAGTTTGGGGAAGGCCCTTTCCTGTTTCAGCATGACAATGCCCCCGTGCACAAAGCGAAGTCCATACAGAAATGGTTTGTCGAGATCAGTGTGGAAGAACTTGACTGGCCTGCACAGAGCCCTGACCTCAACCCCATCAAACACCTTTGGGATGAATTGGAACGCCGACTGCGAGCCAGGCCTAATCGCCCAACATCAGTGCCCGACCTCACTTATGCTCTTGTGGCTGAACGGAAGCCAGTCCCCGCCGCAATGTTCCAACATCTAGTGGAAAGCCTTCCCAGAAGACTGGAGGCTGCTATAGCAGCAAAGGAGGGGGACCAACTCCATATTAATGCCCATGATTATGGAATGAGATGTTTGACGAGCAGGTGTCCACATACTTTTGGTCATGTAGTAGTTAACACATCTAGACCTGATGACGGGGCCATTGTGGCCTGTGTGTCCTGTTTCTATCATAGCTTTGCTTTGGCTCTGAAGGTGACACCATTATTTAATGGTATTTTTCTAAATTTTCTCCAGCTTTTTTTCTTAATTTTTTTAAATAAAAAATTATACTCTCTTTTGGAGAATCTACAGTACCTCTTTTCAATTTTTAACATTTAACATTTAAGTCATTTAGCAGACGATCTTATCCAGAGCGACTTACAAATTGGTGCATTCACCTTAATTATGGTGTAAAATAAGTATTTGGTCACCTACAAACAAGCAAGATTTCTGGCTCTCACAGACCTGTAACTTCTTCTTTAAGAGGCTCCTCTGTCCTCCACTCGTTACCTGTATTAATGGCACCTGTTTGAACTTGTTATCAGTATAAAATACACCTGTCCACAACCTCAAACAGTCTCACTCCAAACTCCACTATGGCCAAGACCAAAGAGCTGTCAAAGGACACCAGAAACAAAATTGTAGACCTGCACCAGGCTGGGAAGACTGAATCTGCAATAGGTAAGCAGCTTGGTTTGAAGAAATCAACTGTGGGAGAAATTATTAGGAAATGGAAGACATACAAGACCACTGATAATCTCCCTCGATCTGGGGCTCCACGCAAGATCTCACGAACGGTGAGCAAAAATCCCAGAACCACACGGGGGGACCTAGTGAATGACCTGCAGAGAGCTGGGACCAAAGTAACAAAGCCTACCATCAGTAACACACTATGCCGCCAAGGACTCAAATCCTGCAGTGCCAGACGTGTCCCCCTGCTTAAGCCAGTACATGTCCAGGCCCGTCTGAAGTTTGCTAGAGTGCATTTGGATGATCCAGAAGAGGATTGGGAAAATGTCATATGGTCAGATGAAACCAAAATATAACTTTTTGGTAAAAACTCAACTCGTCTAGTTTGGAGGACAAAGAATGCTGAGTTGCATCCAAAGAACACCATACCTACTGTGAAGCATGGGGGTGGAAACATCATGCTTTGGGGCTGTTTTTCTGCAAAGGGACCAGGACGACTGATCCGTGTAAAGGAAAGAATGAATGGGGCCATGTATCGTGAGATTTTGAGTGAAAACCTCCTTCCATCAGCAAGGGCATTGAAGATGAAACGTGGCTGGGTCTTTCAGCATGACAATGATCCCAAACACACCGCCCGGGCAACGAAGGAGTGGCTTCGTAAGAAGCATTTCAAGGTCCTGGAGTGGCCTTGCCAGTCTCCAGATCTCAACCCCATAGAAAATCTTTGGAGGGAGTTGAAAGTCTGTGTTGCCCAGCGACAGCCCCAAAACATCACTGCTCTAGAGGAGATCTGCATGGAGGAATGGGCCAAAATACCAGCAACAGTGTGTGAAAACCTTGTGAAGACTTAGAGAAAACGTTTGACCTGTGTCATTGCCAACAAAGGGTATATAACAAAGTATTGAGAAACTTTAGTTATTGACCAAATACTTATTTTCCACCATAATTTGCAAATAAATTCATAAAAAATCCTACAATGTGATTTTCTGGATTTTTTTTCCTAATTTTGTCTGTCATAGTTGATGTGTACCTATGATGAAAATTACAGGCCTCTCATCTTTTTAAGTGGGAGAACTTGCACAATTGGTGGCTGACTAAATACTTTTTTCCCCCACTGTATATCACTGCTTCCACTCTCTCATCCTCTCTCTCGCTCTCTCTCTCTCTCTCTCTCTCTCTCTCTCTCTCTGTCTCTCTCTCTCTGGATGGCTTAATATCACATGATCTCTCATCTCTCTCCATACTATCTCTACTATTATCTCGGCCCTCTCTCTTCTCTCTCTATCCTCTCTCTCTTCTCTCACTACTGAGGCTATGATCTCTATAATATATATAGAGTTTTCTCTTATCTCTATCATCGAGATATCATTCTCTCTCTCTATCATAGCTGTCTCTCTCTCTCTCTCATCTTTCTGTCTCTCTCTCTCTTCGTCTCTCGTCTCTCTCTCTCTCTCTCTCTCTCTCTCTCTCTCTCTCTCTCTCTCTCGGATGGCTTATATATCACTGCTTCCACTCTCTCGCCCTCCCTTGACGCACAAGGCTCTCCTTTTGTTTTACCCACTGAACCTGACCAGTCCTCAGTTTGATTTGATACTGTTGACCTGTAAAACATCAGTGTGATACGCATCTCAGAGCTCCCCCTTCTCTGTTCTTTTCTACCCCCCCCCCCCCCCCCCCCCTCCACTCCAGACATCATCAACACCCCCAAGCCTGATGAGAGAGCTATCATGACCTATGTCTCCTGCTTCTACCATGCTTTTGCTGGAGCAGAGCAGGTAGAGAGCCCTTTGAGTATGTGTGGTTTTGGACTGCAGTGATTATTGAAGTGCCCGAATGCTTGAATGGCCACGTGCAAATACTACCATTTACTGTAAGTAGGTTCTCACACAATGAATTACTGTTGAATATTTTAACATGGGATCCCTTGTTCCTGTCTGAAATATTAAACATGTGTTATCCAAAACTTACATATCTAAAAAATATAACCAATAAAACTTTGATTTTAAATCTTGGCTGTCATCACATTATTTTAGGGTGCTTGATCACACCAGCAATACAAACTGTCCAAACTGTTTCCATATGATGTGACAAATGATTTGACAGTAATGTGACATGTTGCTGTGGGTCTCTACAGGCGGAGACAGCAGCCAACCGTATCTGTAAGATTCTGGGAGTCAACCAGGAGAATGAGAAACTCATGGAGGAATATGAGAAACTGGCCAGTGAGGTAATAATCACACACACTCAGGGCCACACCCTTTTAGGAGGAAAACAGATTAAATAACACAATGTGACTGTTTCTTCAGCTACTTCTTGTCACTCAATTATGACTCATCAATATCAATCATATGACTGATTAATATCAATTGTATGACTGATCAATATCAATCACATTACTTATCAATATCAATCATATGGCTGATCAATATCAATCATATGACTGATCAATATCAATCATATGACTGAGCAATATCAATCACATTACATATCAATATCAATCATATGACTGATCAATATCAATCATATGATTGAACAATATCAATCACATGACTTATCAATATCAATCATATGGCTGATCAATATCAATCACATTACTTATCAATATCAATCATATGACTGAGCAATATAAATCACATTACTTATCAATATCAATCATATGACTGATCAATATCAATCATATGGCTGATCAATATCAATCATATGACTGATCAATATCAATTGTAGACATTTGAACAATGGGTGAACGATCTGGATCTATCCATGAACCATCCAAATCTTTGAATATTGACTACTGTAAGCAAAGTTACCTCTGATGTCTTTACTAAACATGGAACCCCTGTAACCTCGATACTGTACCCTCCATACTGTTACCCTCCATACTGTACCCTCCATACTGTACCCTCCATACTGTACCCTCCATACTGTTACCCTCCATACTGTACCCTCCATACTGTACCCTCCACACAGTACCCTCCATACTGTTACCCTCCATACTGTACCCTCCATACTGTACCCTCCATACTGTACCCTCCATAGTGTTACCCTCCATACTGTACCCTCCATTTAAAGTTACTTTCCCTTACTGTACCCTCCATACTGTACCCTCCACACAGTACCTCCACACTGTACCCTCCATACTGTTACCTCCATACTGTACCCTCCACACAGTACCCTCCATACTGTACCTCCATACTGTACCCTCCATACTGTACCCTCCATACTGTACCCTCCATACTGTTACCCTCCATACTGTACCTCATACTTACCCTCCACACAGTACCCTCCATACTGTACCCTCCATACTGTACCCTCCATACTGTACCCTCCATACTGTACCCTCCATACTGTACCCTCCATACTGTACCCTCCATAGTGTTACCCTCCATACTGTACCCTCCATACTGTTACCCTCCATACTGTACCCTCCATACTGTTACCCTCCATACTGTACCTCATACTGTACCCTCCATACTGTACCCTCCATACTGTTACCCTCCATACTGTACCCTCCATACTGTACCCTCCATACTATACCCTCCATACTGTACCCTCCATACTGTACCCTCCATACTGTACCCTCCATACGTGACCCTCCATACTGTACCTCCATACTGTACCCTCCATACTTTACCCTCCATACTGTACCCTCCATTTCTGTTACCCTCCATACTTACCCTCCATACTGTACCCTCCATACTGTATCCTCCATACTGTACCTCCATACTGTACCCTCATACTGTACCCTCCATACTGTACCCTCCATACTGTTACCTCCATACTGTACCCTCCATACTGTACCCTCCATACTGTTACCCTCCATACTGTACCCTCCATACTGTACCCTCCATACTGTTACCCTCCATACTGTTACCCTCCATTAGTGTACCCTCTATACTGTACCCTCCATACTGTACCCTCACATACTGTACCCTCCATACTGTTACCCTCCATACTGTACCCTCCATAGTGTTTACCCTCCATACTGTACCCTCCATGTGTTCCCTCCATACAGTACCACAATACTGTACCCTCCAATACTGTACCTCCATACTGTTACCCTCCATACTGTTACACTCCATACTGTACCCTCCATACTGTACCCTCCATACTGTTACCCTCCATACTGTTACCCTCCATACTGTACCCTCCATACTGTACCCTCCATACTGTACCCTCCATACTGTTATCCTCCATACTGTACCCTCCATAGTGTTACCCTCCATACTGTACCCTCCATAGTGTTACCCTCCATACAGTACCCACCATACTGTACCCTCCATACTGTACCCTCCATACTGTACCCTCCATACTGTTACCCTCCATACTGTTACCCTCCATACTGTTACCCTCCATACTGTACCCTCCATACTGTTACCCTCCATACTGTTACCCTCCATACTGTACCTCCATACGTACCCTCCATACTTTACCCTCCATACTGTACCTCCTACTGTTACCCTCCATACTGTACCCTCCATACTGTTACCCTCCATTTCTTACCCTCCATACTGTACCATCCATACTGTACCCTCCATACTTTTACCCTCCATACTGTACCCCATACTTACCCTCCATACTGTACCCTCCATACTGTACCCTCCATACTGTTACCCTCCATACTGTACCCTCCATAGTGTTACCCTCTATACTGTACCCTCCATACTGTACCCTCCATACTGTACCCTCCATACTGTTACCCTCCATACTGTACCCTCCATAGTGTTACCCTCCATACTGTACCCTCCATAGTGTTACCCTCCATACAGTACCCACCATACTGTACCCTCCATACTGTACCCTCCATACTGTTACCCTCCATACTGTTACCCTCCATACTGTACCCTCCATACTGTACCCTCCATACTGTTACCCTCCATACTGTTACCTCCATACTGTACCCTCCATACTGTACCCTCCATACTGTACCTCCATACGTTACCTCCATACTGTACCCTCCATACTGTACCCTCCATACTGTACCCTCCATACTGTACCCTCCATACTGTACCCTCCATACTGTTACCCTCCATACTGTTCCCTCCATACTGTACCCTCCATAGTGTTACCCTCCATACTGTTACCCTCCATACTGTACCCTCCATACTGTACCCTCCATACTGTACCCTCCAATACGTACCCTCCATACTGTTACCCTCCATACTGTACCCTCCATAGTGTTAACCCTATACTGTACCTCCATACTGTACCCTCCATACGTACCCCCCATACTGTTACCTCCATACTGTACCCTCCATAGTGTTTCCCTCCATACTGTACCTTTCCATAGTGTTACCCTCCATACAGTACCCCCATACTGGTACCCTCCATACTGTTACCTCCATACTGTTACCCTCCATACTGTTACCCTCCATACTGTACCCTCCATACTGTACCCTCCATACTGTTCCCTCCATACTGTACCCTCCATACTGTACCCTCATACTGTACCCTCCATACTGTACCTCCATACTGTTACCCTCCATACTGTTACCTCCATACTGTACCCTCCATACTGTACCCTCCATACTGTACCCTCCATACTGTACCCTCCATACTGTACCCTCCATACTGTACCCTCCATACTGTTACCCTCCATACTGTACCCTCCATACTGTTACCCTCCATACTGTACCCTCCATACTGTACCCTCCATACTGTTACCCTCCATACTGTACCCTCCATACTGTTACCCTCCATACTGTTACCCTCCATACTGTTACCCTCCATACTGTTTCCATCCATACTGTTTCCCTCCATACTTTACCCTCATACTGTTACCTCCATACTGTACCCTCCATACTGTACCCCGCCATAGTGACCCTCCATACTGTACCCTCCCTACTGTTACCCTCCAGACTGTACCTCCATATGTACCCTCCATATGTTACCTCAATAAATGTACCTCCATACTGTACCCTCCATATGGTACCCTCCATATGTTACCCTCAATACTGTACCTCCCTACTTACCCTCCATATGTTCCTCCTACGGTACCCTCCAACTGTACCCTCCTTATGTACCCTCCCTACTGTACCTCCATATGTTACCTCCATACTGTACCCATCCAATGTTACCCTCTTACTGACCTCATACTGTACCCTCCATACTGTACCCTCCATACTGTTACCCTCCCCTACTGTACACCCATAGGTACACTCCATACTGTACCTCAAAAGGTACCATCCAACGTACCACCATACTGTACCCTCCATACTGTACCCATCAATACTGTTACCCCATACTGGACCTCCATACTGTCCTCCATACTGTCCTCCATACTGTTACCTCCATACTGTTACCCTATGTACCCTCATACGTACCTCCATACTGTACCCCCATACGTTCCCTCCACTGTACCAATGTACCTCTATGTTACCCTCCATACGACCTCCATACTGTACCTCTATGTACCTCATACTGTTACCCTATACGTTACCCATACTGTACCTCCATATGTTCCTCCATACGTCCCTCCATATGTACCTCCAAATGTACCTCATATGTACCCTCCATACTTACCTCATCTTACCCTCATTGTACCCTCCATATGTACCCCATATTCTGTACCTCATACTGTACCCTCCTACTGTACCCTCCATACTGTACTCCATCTGTCCTCCATATAATCTCTTGTTACCAATATAGCTTACATATGTCAGGGTTTACCAAAGGTGTTCCCAGCTCTTGGAGTGGATCGTGTATGACCCCCTGGAGAGAACAAGTCCCGAGAGACCAGGTGCTATGCGGGTAAAATGGAGGCTTCAGAGACTACCGTAGACAACACAAACCCCCCAAGGTGCAGGAGAAGTGTCAGCTGGAGATCAGCTTCAACACCCTGCAGACCAAAGCTGAGGATCTCCAACCGGCCCGCCTTCATGCCCTCTGAGGGACGCATGGTGGTCAGTGAGTCAGACACAAACACAAACAACACAACACACACAACACACACACACAACACACAACACACAACACAACACACACACAACACAAACACACAAACACACAACACAAACACAAACACACAACACACAACACACACACAACACACACACACACACACACAAACACACCACACACACAAACAACAACACACATTCAACACACACACACACACACTCACACACACACACACACAACACAAAACACACACACACACACACACACAAACACTCACACACACAAACACACACAAAAAACTCACACACACACACAAACAAACACACACACACAAACACGCACACGCACGCACACACACACACACACACACACACAACACAACACACAAAACACCACACACACACGCGCACACACGCACACACAAAACACACACACACACACAAAACACACACACACGCACACACACACACACCACACACAAACACACACACACACACACAAAACAACACACACACGCACACACAAACAGCACAACACAAAACACACACACGACACACAAACACAAACACAAGCACACACGCACACACACAAAACACAACACACACCAAAACACGCGCACACACGCACACAAACACACACACACACATACACAAACACACAGACACGCACACACTCACGTAACCACACACACACCCACCCACCACCACCCACCCACACACAGAGACCTTCCTTCCCTCTGAGGGTCTTGGTGAGTAGAGGAGACCCAGAGGAAGTTCCAGGCAACACATCCCAGAGGTCAGAGATCTTATTGATTTCATTTATCTCATATTCATGTATTCTTGGAAAGTATTCAGACCCATTGAATATTTCCACATTTTGTTACGTTACAGCCTTATTCTAAAATGGATTAAATGAAATTTTTCCTCATCAATCTACACACAATACCCCAAAATGACAAAGCGAAAACAGGTTTTTAGAGATTTTTGCTAATTTATTAAAAATAAACAACAGAAATACCTTATTTACATAAGTATTCAGACCCTTTGCTATGACACTCGAAATTGCATCCTGTTTCCATTGATCATTCTTGAGATGTTTCTACAACTTGATTGGAGTCCACCTGTGGTAAATTCAATTGATTGGACATGATTTGGAAAGTCACACACCTGTCTATATATATAAGGTCCCACAGTTGACAGTGCATATCAGAGCAAAAACCAAGCCATGAGGTTGAAGGAATTGTCCATAGAGTTCCGAGACAGGATTGTGTCAAGGCACAGATCTGGGGAAGGGTACCAAAACATTTCTGCAGCATTGAAGATCCCCAAGAACACAGTGGCCTCCATCATTCTTATATGGAAGAAGTTTGGAACCACCAAGACTCTTCCCAGAGCTGGCCGCCCGGCCAAACTGAGCAATCGGGGGACAAGGGCCTTGGTCAGGGAAGTGACCAAGAACCCGATTGTCACTCTGACAGAGCTCCAGAGTTCCTCTGTGGAGATGGGAGAACATTTCAGAAGGACAACCATCTCTGCAGCACTCCACCAATCAGGCCTTTATGGTAGAGTGGCCAGACGGAAGCCACTCCTCAGTAAAAGGCACATGACATCCCGCTTGGAGTTTGCCAAAAGGCACCTAAAGACTCTCAGACCATGAGAAACAAGATTCTCTGGTCTGATGAACCAAGATTGAACTCTTTGGCCTGAATGCCAAGCGTCACATCTGGAGGAAACCTGGCACCATCCCTACGGTGAAGCATGGTGGTAGCAGCATCATGCTGTGGGGATGTTTTTCAGCAGCAGGGACTGGGACACTAGTCAGGATCGAGGGAAAGATGAACGGAGCAAAGTACAGAGAGATCCTTGATGAAAACCTGCTCCAAAGCGCTCAGGACCTCAGACTGGAGTGAAGGTTCACCTTCCAACAGGACAATGACCCTAAGCACACAGCCAAGACAATGCAGGAGTGGCTTCGGGACAAGTCTCTGATGTCCTTGAGTGGCCCCAGACAGAGCCCGGAACTTGAACCCGATCGAACATCTTGGAGAGACGTGAAAATAACTGTGCAGCAACTCTCCCCCATCCAACTGACAGAGCTGAGAGGATCTGCAGAGAAAGAATGGGAGAAACTCCCCAAATACAGGTTGTGCCAAGCTTGTAGCGTCATACCCCAAGAAGACTCGAGGCTGTAATCACTGCCTAAGGTGCTTTAACAAAAGTACTGAGTAAATGGTCTGAATACTGATGTAAATGTAATATTTCAGTTTTTTATTTTTTTTATAAATTTGCAAAAAGTTCTAAAAAACAAGTTTTTGCTTTGTCATTATGGGGTATTGTGTGGAGGAAAAAACAATTTAATCCATTTTACAATAGGCTTGTAACGTAACAAAATGTGAGAAAAGTCAAGGGGTCTGAATACTTTCCGAATGCACTGTATAGTTGACCCTAGCCTTGATATTAGCTGAGTGATCAACGTCCCTTGGAAGGATTGGCATTGTGAGACTACGTTTACCCCCACAGTTTTTTTACAATGTTGTAATATTTAACACCCAAAAAAGACAGTTCCCTGGTGAAGTATAGACCAACTTACCTGTATCTTACAAACCTCTGTGTTTACCAGGACACCAACCATGGACAGAACCTGGAGAAGGTAGAGAACGGCTAGGAGGAGGTTATTAACTGTATTGTTATACTGTATCCTTGTGTGGTGTGGTGTGGTGTGTGGTGTGTGTTGTGTGTGTGTGTGTGGGTGTGTGTGTGTGTGTGTGTGTGTGTGTGTGTGGTGTGTGTTGTGTGTGTGGGTGTGTGGTGTGTGTGTGTGTTGTGTGTGTGTTGTGTGTGTGGTTTGTGTGTGTGTGTGTGTGTGTGTGTGTGTTGCGTAGGACATCACCAGTGCGTGGACAGGCCTGGAGCAGGGCAGAGAAGGGCTATGAGGAGTGGCTGATGAGTGAGACCAGGAGGCTGGAGCGTCTCAACCACCTGGCTGAGAAGTCCAGATGAAGGCTGCCACCCACCAGGACTGGTCTGTAGGTCCTGTCTGTTCTCTCTCTATTCCAGGGGTTCTCTAACCTCTCCTTGGGACCTCCAGACGTTTTCACGATTTAGTTGTATTCCCTGAACTATCTCACCTGACCTAGTGA